CTGTGTGTAGAAGGCACCCACTATGTGCCAGCGCTGTCCTGGGGACTGGGAATTTAGGGGTGAACAAAGATATAGTCACTGCCCTTATGGTACTTGGAGTAGTCAGGAAATGGCTGTCAGGCAGAGGTTTCTTGATTAAAAAGTAGAACAAGGGCTGGCCGAGTGGCTCAATTGGTTAAGAGCTCACTCAAGAGTGTGAGCTCTGAGCAACAGGGTCACCGGTTTGATCCCCAGCCCAAGATGAGCTGCCACTGAGCTGCCAACAGGTGGCAGGATGGCTCAGCTAAAAAAAAAAATAGAAGAGCATGGAATGTGCCCACCGCCATCTTCCCACATCATCCCACACAGCTGATCACAGGGACTGCAGTAGTTTGTGCCAGACTGTGTGAGCTTCTTAAATTGACTTATTAGAAATCCAGTGGGCCACACAAGAAGACCAAGCATCCATCAAGTCAGCCAGTTGGTCAACATCAAAGTGTGAGAGCGTGCTGTATCCCGGCTGCTCTTCTGAGAGCTAGGAAGCCAGCAGTGAACAAAACAGATGTCTTCCCTGCTCGGAGCTTACATTCTGGTAGGGGAAGACAGATAACAAAACATAAGGAGATGGATCAGATGGGGGGGGGTAAATATACTATAAAGAAAAAAAGAAAAGAGGCTAAGTAAGGAGGGTTGAGTGTGCTGGGGGAGTGGGAGGGGTTACTATGCCGTACAGCCTGACCGTTGTCCAGAAAGAAGTGAGGGACCATCTGTTTGGGTATCAGGGGAAAGAACTTCCCAAGTAGAGGGAGCAGCAAGGCTAGAGTGGGCAGGGGTGGGGGCAGGAAGAACAAAAGAGGGATTATGGGTTGCACATCTCACAACTATGTTGTAAACTTATTAGATAAACAATTAAATGAGACTTGGACATAGCAAGTCTGGAGTTTATTTGTTGTGGAAACCAGGGCGCTGACTGGTTGCTCCGTTAGTGAGTGCCTGAGTCCGGTTCTGTTTGACCTCAAGCTCTGTTAGGCTGTGGCATCTTGCTAACCTTCATGCGACATCATCGAATCATGAACAGGCGGACCCATTCACTTTGTCCATATCACTAGGCTTCCCAGAAGCCAGGGTGGACCAGATCAATAACATATGTGCTTTTCTTCTTGGATCATTCTGAGAGTTAGTGCTTAGACTTTTCTTAGAAGATTCTCCCTGG